GCTCCATCGTCGTCGGATCGCCCGTGGCAGTGAAGGAGGGACTCGAATCGCAGCCTTAGGAACGTTAGGGCGTGGTTCAGGGTAAGGGGTTGAGGTTTAGGGTTTAGGGTTTAGGGTTTAGGGTTCAGGGTAAGGGGTTGAGGGTATAAGCTATAACTAGGGTAAAAGGGTTTGGGGTTGAGGGTTTAGAGTTTAGTCTCTTTGTGTTTAGGGTTCTAGGGTACATGGTATAGGGTATAGGGTATAGGGTCTCGGGTACAGATAGCGAACGAAAAATGCACGTGCGACGCTTCTCCATTTCATCCTTGGAGGGGTCGCTTGTACACCGTAGGTTGTGGCTTGGTGCACAGACCTCAGTGTTTCAAGGTACGTAAAGCTTAAGCCTCATATGTTATTCCTTAGGGCTCCTTATGGTATTATTACCATAAGGAGCCTCCTCATGTTAATAAGGAGCTATGACCATACCATATTCGCACTTTCTTAAGATCCCTGTATTCGGGCTCTCAGACGGACGGTTAGCCTTCTTTCGCCGCGCTAGCCACAACGCCTCCAGGATGTGTTTGCGATCTCGGAAACCGAGACGCACAGCCCGCGCAGGGACGTCGTCCGGTTTGGGTTTAGGTTTCAGGTTTTAAGCTATCGGGCTTTGGGGTTTAAGGATCATAACTCCATCCACTGCAAAGGGTTCTTGCTCTGTCTGTCCTGGTCACTTGCTTGCCACACTCATACAGAGGGAATGCACATATATCTATAAATGAATAGATAAATATATCTATATGTATCTACAGCCCCATGATGTCCAGCATACCCACACAAGCCCCGACCCCATAAACCGCCCGAGTTCTGGCTCCCCCTTTTTATTAAGCACCCCCCTAATAATAAACAACATTGGGCCCAATCCCGCCGAAATCATCCCTGGCCTTTCAAACCTTTTCTGAATTAGGGGAAAGGGGTTTCGAGGTTCCAAATACACTTAGAGCACAGTATAAGAGCAGGAGCAAGAGCAAAAAACGGGAGCATCGGCAAGAGCAGCAGCAGCGGCAAGAGACGCAGCAGAAGCAAGAGACGCAGCACAAGCAGGAGCAAAAGCCAGCGCGCGAGCCGGAGCCAGAGCAGGAGCAAGAGCACGCCCCTTCAAACGTGGCAGTAGAGACAAAAAGACCCCCTAATAATAAAAACACTTTCCGAGCATCTATTGGGGAGGCCCTCCCCGTGTAATACTAGGTGGAAAGGATTAGCCGAAATCCCCAACAATAAGCTTCGAGCCCCAAGCCCTAAACCCTCAACCATAAACTTCACCTAACCCTCAGCCCTTGATCCTAACACCTTAACCCGAAAAGCTTCGATCATGAAAAGCCTAAACCCTAAGACGTAAACCCTAAACTGTACACCCTAAGCCCTAAATCCTAAACTGTAAACCCTAAGCCCTAAGCCCGAAACTGTAAACCCGAAGCCCTAAACCCTAAACCCTAAACTGTAAATCCTAAGCCCTAAATCCTAACCATAGACTGTAAACCCTAAACCCTAAACTGTAAACCCCAAGCCGAAAACATTTACTCTCTAAACTGAAACCCTAAGCCCTAAACCCTAAACCCTAAACTGTAAATCCTAAGCCCTAAACCCTAAGCCCTGAACCCTGAACCCTAAACTGTAAACCCTAAGCCCTAAACGGCTCCCTGTGTAAAATCCCCGGGGGCAAAGGATCCCCTGGGCCGTTTCACGAGCAAGACACTCGTCGGCGAAGCCGCGCAGCCGACTACAGGGCTCTCATCGCAAAATCTGGGTTTGGGGTTTATGGGTGTTTTTTTGCTCTGGGTGTTCGGGGTTTACGGGTTTAGGTTTTGGGCTCTGTTGTTTGGGGTTTTGGGTTCGTAGGATTTGGTTTTCGCGTTTGGGCTTGAATGGTGCAGCATTCCAGGGTGCAGGTCTCGGGTTTACGTCGTTTGCTTTGTGGAGTTGGTAGCCGATTTCGTGTTTAGGGTTTTAGGGTTTTAGGGGTTTTAGGTTTTAGGGTTTAGGGCCAGTATAGGGATTTCAATTTCTCTCAACATCCGAAGTTCGTCAGTTTGCTGCCGAGTTTCGGGTCGTCTGATCCTGATGCAAAGCCCGGAGCTATTGGCAATACTGCTCCCTGCGTTTTGTACCGATACACCCCAAAACCCTAAACCAAAAACCGTAGACCCTAAACCCTAAACCTAACAAAACCCTATTCGTCTAAGTATCAAAACACCCATCTTTTCGAGACTTCTTCGGGGGGCTTGACTTAGTCTGCTCGACCCACTTTGCGGCTGTTCGTGCCACAAGACTCTACTGGTCCTAGTTGGCTGCCTTCAAGGCTTCTGTAACGAGCCCGAGTAGAAACGATGGCTCCTATATGTAAATGCACAAAATTAAGCAACAGGGCTGCTTAATATGACTTTGCTATGAGGCACCCCAAAACCCTATTCTAATTATTAAGGTCCCTTACTATGGAACTTCTGCGCCACCATTCACCAAGTCATCTCTGCACGCCTTCGCGCTTTTAGAAGGATTTGCGTTGGCACGACCACCGGCACGACCTGCCCCTGACTGTTTAGGTGCCTACTATATAGGGTACTAGAGCCTCAAGGGCCCTGTATAGTAGGTACCGTGGGGTTTAGGGTGCTTTCAGATTCCGCACCTGACCGGGCACCAGTTTCAAGTCTGCGATCGTTCTTGTACGTACAACTGGCAACAATGAGAAAAGCAGCAGAAAGCATACACAAGGCGACAGTCAACCCGAAATGAGAGGTTCGTCTCTCCAGTCAGAGGGTCGTACAGGAACGAGTGACTTTGCAGGACAACTTAAACCAACCCAAAGCCCTAAACCGGCCCCTTAAATCCAAGCCGCAAGCCCTAAACCCCTCAACCCACAGCCACAAAAACCTTAAGCCCCATATCAGGTTTTCCCGTAACCGGAAGCTCTTGCGGCCTCCATGGCAGGTACCGAGCTGACCTACCGCATGCCCTTCGAGGAGCTACGCTTCGGTTTTTTGGGGTTGGTTTTTAGGGTTTAGGGTTTGGGGTTCAGGGTTTTAGGGGTTTAGGGTTTGGGGTTTAGGGGTTTAGGGTTTTAGGGGTTTAGGGTTTAGGGACTTCACTCAGGAGGTAGCGCAGGAATATGTTTTCAGGACACCGTTCTTGGTCGAAACTT